AGGATGTTTTTACTTGGACTAAAATTTGTTGGTTTGATCTGATCAGATTTGGTCTGGTCTGTTCTGAACTGATTTGGTCTGGTCTGATTTCTTTGTATTTTTATAACTATCCAAATCTGGTCTAATCCGGTTTGATCTGATCTGAGACAAATTACAGTCCAAGTAAAAACATCTATATAGAACAACAAATTAAAATTATTAATTTGATAGAAATAACAAAAATATAATAAAATTTAAATCGCACAATATTATAAATAAAGTTTCGAATCGAAACAACATAATAACAGAATACAAATGATACTTAAGAAAATAACATAATTAAAATTACAATTAATAACACCATTGCAACTTATGTATGTACTCTTTTAATTTGTTGAAAGTGTATTTAATTTTTTTTTGTTTAAGTATATTTAACATATACTAGATCTGAAAATGAATGAGACAAAACGAGTATCAAATCACCATAATTATATATAAATGTTACCGAGTATATATTACGGAGTATTGTATATAAGTATAAAATATACACTTACAAGTGTGCTCATCAAAATTTATCAGGTCGGCCCTGGCCAAGTGCTGCAAGTGCATTGGCACAAGACCCAATAAAAATAAAAGCCCAATAGAATTAAGAAATATGGAGTATTAGGTTGTGTAAATAGCTCGATAACTAATAATCTAATAAAGATAACTAAACATTACAAAATTAGGAATTTTTATATAATAAATATACCAAGTCGCATGCTCCCTCCCGCTTTTAACAATTATATTACAGTTCACTACGCAACATCAATTAGGTGTTTAGATGTTAATTTTGTAATTGATTTTAACAATTTATATTATTGGACAATTAAGTTGTTAAATTTGTAATTGTTGCACCATTATACTTTATAATTAAATAAGTCGTTTTGTTTTTGGGGTTTGTAATTGGTATTTTGACATTAACTTTTAATACGGAATAGTTTATTACTTTATTAGTATTTTCATTTTATCATCTTCATAGATAGTGGTCTAATTTTTAGTAGAAAAAGAAAGGCCGAATTTTCTTTTGCATAGGACCTCCATTTTTTTAGGACCGACCCTGTTCATTGTCCGAGAAGAAAACTTAACTAGCAGTCTAGCCCTGTTAGAAATTTAAGCCAAACTTTACTCATTCCTAAAGTCTCACAAATTTAACCATTTTAGAGCCCGTTTGGTAACACTAAAATTGGCTGAATTGGCTGATTCTGCTGAAACTTATGAAGTTTTGTCTGAAGTGGCTGTATTGGCTTATTCTGCTGATTCATGGAAAAATTATATTTAAAATATGTGTTGTTAATAAATTAAATAAAAAATTATATGAAAAAATAGCTAAAATGATCATCTACAGTAACTTCAGCCTATACAGCCAGAAAAGTAACTACAACCTTACTTTTTCTGCTTATTATAAAGTTCAGCGCGCGAAATCAAAAGTTACGTGTTTGGTAAAAAAGCTGGCTGATAAGCCTGATAAGCCGAAAAAAGGGGTCACCAAACGGGCTCTTAGTGTCCCGCCAAATTCATTGGAGATGCTCTGAGAACATCTCTAATGCAAAAACGTGAACGGCATGGCATGAGAGATAGTCAATTAAAAAAGAACAAATAAAATATTTATTTCCTTGTTTGAACGGCATTATATGTTTTGGTAAGTTTTTCTCAACAATGTCAAGTAGAATGTCTAGATGTAGACATTATGGTTGACATTGTTGAGAAAAACTTACTAGAAACATATAAGATCATGTAAAAAATGAGAGAGAAATGTCATAAATTTAATTTTTTGTGTCTCTCTCATGGCACATGTGCACCGTGCACATTATAGCTGATGGATAGTGTACCCGGGGGGTAGCTTATCCGGGGGGTTATTGCGGGGAATAACAAGAGAGAAGTCAGAGCAAGTAGGTATAGAGAGAGAAAGTGTATTCAGAAAGTATGCAGTGTTTATGACTTGGTTACAAATGGGGAAATGAGGTGCTATTTATAGTAGCAATAAATGCCGGATAGGGACACGTGTCAAGCGCCCATTGGCCGAGAGGTCATCTCAACTGGTTGGCGCTGGCAACCGCATGTGGCCGCATTTAATGCGGCTGTTGGATGGGACGTTTGTACAGGGTACGGTGATCTGTACGCATGTGACGCGGATATTATGTCGGGAGAGGTGCCCTCGGCTGCAGAGGACTAACCGAGGGCTCCGAGTGTCGGGGACCCCCTGGGTGCCGAGGGCTCCAGGTGCCGAGGGCTACTGTTTTCTGCCGTTTTTCTCCCAGTTTCTTAGCTTGCTTGAAAACCCATTCTGCGAGAGTTTTGAGCCTTCGGCCAGGGGGCCGAAGGCTCCCCCAGCGTGCGCTGTGGGCTGCTAAGTGCTTGGGCGCCGTAATTTGGGGCCTGTTGTGCTTCCTGGGCCGGTTGGGCCTTTATTGGTGTAGTAGGAGTCTGTGGGCCGGGGGTTCCCGGGCCATATACTCCATCAGGAGTCCCTCACTCCTTTTGCCGAAAGGTACTTGTGGAAAAAGGAGTAATTTGTTCTTGCCCTTTGATGTTGTCTCGTTGTAATCTCTGAAGTTGGTGAGGAGTCGTTGCTTTCATGTCCCTGCCGAAGGCAGTCCCTCAGTTACCCACATGTCGGGACTTGAGGGATTGCTCGGCCGTTTGTTGGAATTCTTCACCATTTTTAAATTTAATGATTTTCCCGAGGGGGTCCTCCAGTCCCCCACTCCTTGAGGCACTTGTAAAGTGGTGAAAAGGAGTAGAGTAGTTGCGCTGCTGTTGTGGGCCGAAGGCTGACGCTTTTCGTTTCATTTTGGGGGATGCCTCGTTAAAAACCTCATTAGGAAAAACCCTGGGGAAAAAATCCTAATGAGGGAAAAAGAGTGCACCGAATTCCCCCAACGATGAATCGAAAATGTGAAACCTTGGTCAAAAATGGAGAATGATGGTAATGCCGAAGGCTCTCCTTGTTCTGAGGGCTCATGTGTTGAGTAGCCGGAGGCTTGCTGTTGATGTCCTGGGAGGTGCCGAAGGGGAGCCCCTCAATCTGGGGATCGAGGGCGTGATGGATGAGGGTAGTAGTTGATTATTGCCCGTGCTTGCTGATTAGTTGGTGATGAGGATATCCGAGGGCTCTCATTACCTGTGTGCCGTAGGCTATCCGTCAATGAGGCATACTCCCCGGGGGCTACCCGGCCCTTACAGTGCTGAGGGGGAATCCCCGAGGGGTGGCCTGATATGAAGCCTTGGGCTTCTGAAGGAGTGATCCCGAAGGCGACTGTTATGTACTGTGTGGGCACGACCCGGGGGCGTCTCTGGGTAAGTGTACCCGGAGGCTCTCCTTGATGAAGTGGAGTGAAGTAAGATAATCCGGGGGCTCCCAGAATATAGCCGTTGGGGGGAGTACACGTGGCGCGTGATGGTTGGCTGTCCGTGGGCGGCGTCACCGGTTGGGCGAGGACACGGCGTGTAATGATGACGGTCCATCCGGAGGCCCGGTTTCCAGGCCCAAGCCCGGATTCCAGCGCCTATAAATACCCCAAGGCCAGGCACTCCTCCTTCTGCAAAACCTTGTTAGCGAAGCTCTGCTGAATTTTTCCTAGAGATAGAAACAACAGCCCTCGATCAAACTCTAATTCCCATGTCAGTTCTCCACTCGCACTTCACCTCTCTAGTTAGCTGTCTTGTGCCCTTAGGCTAGGAGATAGAGTTTTTAGAAAACACTAGCGTCTACGAGCCTTCGAACCAGAGCCAGAATGTCGTCCCAGAGTGATTCTCAAGACATCTCGGGGGCGCCCTCGATGGAGGATGAAGTCCTCTCGGATGTGGAGTCCTCAAGTGCACAGTCTTCGGTGGGACAGGATGCCGCCGTCGCCCTGGAGCTGCAGAAAGCCCTCGTTGCTGAGGCGGAAGCCGAGGGCTTTGAGCAAGAATGTGAGGATGAAGAGCTGGCCCTAGCCTGGCAAGCAGCTGAAGAGGAGGCGCAAAGAGAAAGCGCGAGGGTCACCGTTGCTGTGCTCCCCCCTCGGGGTGCCGGTGAGGCCAGCACCTCTCGGCCGCTGAACGCGGTTCCCATCCGGGTGGCCCCCGGAAAGAAGAAGGCCAAGGTAGCTGCTCCCAAGAAGAAGGGCAGCGTTGCAGATCAAGGGAAGCCCCTCGATATGCCCGAGGGGTACTCCTACCTGAACACCGCCGCCTTGGAAATAAGGTCGAAGGTTGATGCGGCGGACATCTATGTCACTCAGCTTCACGTGGGCCCCTCGGCCATCGTGGTGACACCGGGCCCAGATGACATCCTCTCCTGGGCTCCCGAGGGCTGTATTGCGGTGCACGTTCTCTCGGTGTCCATGGGGCTCCGCTTCCCCCTGCACCCTTTCCTCCGGGAGTACCTCCGGTTCGTGGGTCTGGTCCCCTGCCAGCTGACCCCGAACAGCCATTCCTATATTACTGGCTTCCTCCAGCTCTGCAAGTCCCGGGGGGTGACGCCTAGCCTGGACCTCTTCTTCTAGAGCTTCAATCTGTGCCGGGGGGCATGCGAATGCCGAGGGCTTCGCAAACTTGCAGCAGGTGGCAATGTTCAAGCTCTTCACTGAGGCACCCTCCTCGAACAAGGGCTGGAAGGACCGGTGGTGCTACGTGAAGCTGACCTAGAGCCCCTTCCCGAGGGAGTTACGTGACCGTTTCAGGAGGCACGAGAAGAGGAGGAGCGCCGCCCTCGAGAAAGACGGCAGGATTCTGGCCATGATCCCGGAGGGCCGGGACAAGAATATCACCATTAAGGAGCGCACCAAAGAGGGAGACCTCTACACCCTCGGGTTCCGGAGGTATCGCTTCCTGGGGGAAACAGATGAGAAGTTCCCGGTGTTTGAGGGAGCCTCCGGAGGTAGTGGCTGAGGGCACTCTCACCTTCATGTCTTAGCACATAGTTTATTTGCTTGTTTGTTTCTCTTTATGCCCTTTGTTAGTGACCCCTCGATTCTAACCCCACATTGTTTTTGCAGGTATCCCAGTGAATATGATGAACGTCAAAGGCCTTGCCCGATTCAAGAACAAGCCGGCCAAGGATCCGAAGGGGTCGGACGCGGGTGGCCAAAAGCCCGTCGGTGCGCTTTTCAAGAAGCCCGAGGGCGACGCTGCTGCCGTGAAGAGGAAACCGACGGAAAAGGAGTCCCCCCAGGCCACCAAGAAATCGAAGAAGTGGGACGCTGCGAAGAAGGACCCCCCGGTGGTGATTCTGGATGACTGCCCCGCCTCCGGGGTGCACAAGGAGATGCCGGTGGCGAAGGTGCCGAGGGGTGTCCGGAAGCCATCTCTTGAGGTCCTTACGCTCTCCCTCCCGGATGGTACGGCCGTGTTGAATGGCACAGCTGACCCGAGGGCGCTTCTGAGAGGTATAACCCTCGACATTGACAGGGCAGCCCTCGGGGCCGATGATGACCAATTCCTCGAGGACAGGATCCTCCGATCTTCCCTCACGATAAGTCTATGACAGTTATCTTTCTCTTCTTTTCTCCGAACTGGGAAATCATGTTCGGCCCTGCTAACTCCTTTATTTTTGCAGACCTGCATTGCCCTCGGGGAGCAGGCCCGACGGCTGGAGGAATGGCGCCTCCACAAAGCTAGGCAAGACGCAAAGATGAAGGAGCTAATTCTCAAGGACTCCAAGGCCACGAAGCTGATGGCCCAGCTTGAAGAGGACCTCCAGCTTGCGAGATCGGAGGCCGGAAGGCTTAGGGAGGAGAAAGCCAAAGCTGAGGAGGCTGCTGCGGAGGCCGCAAGGAAAGCCGCCGAGGAGGCCGAGGCCGCCAGAACGAAAGCTGTCGTCACAGCCCGGGAGGAGGCCATCTCCGGGTTCCTGGATGGGGGTGGAAGGCCGAAGGACACAAGGAGTGGCTGTCCTCGGTTGTGGAGGCCTCCGTCGATGAGTGGTGCGAGGGCCCGGGAGAGGAAGGGATGGCCCGAAAGGGCAAACAATATTATGATGGGGGCGAGTTTTTCACCCAAGCCCTCATCTATCGGAGGATGGCTCGCCACTTAAAGATTGAGCCGAAGGACTTCGACCCGGCGGCATACAAGCTTCCCCCCTTCAGCCAGACATCCGTGTTCCTCTCCCCTCCGATGTCGAGAGGCCAGACCTGGAGGATACTGAGCTCCGGAAGGAAGCCGAGGGTGACGAACCTGAGGGCGATGCAGAGGTCACTTCGAAGCCATCAGAGGAGGTGGCCCCCGGGAATGACGTTGTTTGATTTGTAACTTGTACTTAGCAATTTGAACACACTTTGTAATGGTCACGTTCTTATGCTTTCGGCCCCGGCCATCATTGTAACAATCACATTTACTCTTTTTTGATGATTGATGAATGTTAGCCCTCGGGCCTTGTGTATTTGACTTGCTTTCTTTAATTTATTTCCTCTCGAATGTATGCCGTCGTTTTTTCTTGAGTGTATGCCTTCGCCCTTTTTGAATGTATGTTTAGGACTTAGAATATTTTCTTCCAAGTACGTTGCCCCTTGTAGCCCTCGGCTATTAGAAATCTTTAGTCAGTTGAACCTTTCGTCGAGGGCACAATGTTCAGGTCTTGGAAATATTTCTAAGTGTTTGTTCATCTGTTGGCCCCCGGCTGATCTTCCCTTCTGGTCCCGTGTAGCCTTCGTGCGATGGCCGGAGGTGAGGTGCTTAGGACTTATAGAATTCTTCTAAGTGTTTGAATACAGTTGTAGCCTTCGGTAGTTGGGCACCCTTCGCTGGATATACAACCGAGGGCTCAGCAATAATTAGGACTTAGAAATTTTTTCTAAGTGTAGTCTCACCAAGCCTTCAATCGTGTGACCCCTCGGGTTGCAGGGAGATTCGGGACTTAGAAACTTGTCACCGAGGGCAAGATCTTTTGGGACTTAGAAATTTTTCTAAGTGTAGCACACCATAGGGCCTTCGGGTGTTTGTAGTTCAATTGCTGTGTGATGATTAGGTTGAGAACCCAATCCTTAGGACTTAGAAAATTTTATAAGTGCTGTTACATCACGTAGCCTTCGGCTATCATGGTTCCTCTAGTTGAAATATTGATCAGGCTGGGGGCTCAATCTTCAGGACTTAGAAAAATTTCTAAGTGTTGCTTCCTTGTGTAGCCTTCGGTTAGTAGTGTTTTCCCATTGAGATTTCCCGGGGGCGACGTTATTTTGGAATAATCCCCCTTGGTTGGCCTTTGATGATTTGTAATAGATGCCTTCGGTCGTTGGGTGATATGTGAGCCTCCGGTTGTTGTCATTTTTTCAAAAGTGTGGACTTAGGAAAATTTGTAGGATATTGATGTTGTAGTGAATGCTGGTGGGATATAGGTGCCCTCGGCATTCATTTGAAGGGTTCCTGAGCTGCCTTAGTCAGTTGCATCCCCTTTTACAGGATAGGACCCCTCGGCAGCAATGGATGACCGATGGTAGGTGCCCTCAGCACTTATTAGAAGTGAACTTATCCCTTTGTATTGTTGAGTAGTAACCTTCGGGAAATAGGAGCCTTCAGTTACCGGAGGTGTTCCCGTAGGGAGCCCTCGGTATGTTGTGATTTGTTGGAGTGTTGTACCCACTGATTTCTCGATGAGTCTACTCCCCTTCACCCCCTCTTTTTTTTTGGTTGGTGGTGAAGGGAAGGCATCAAGAAACTTGGTTTCTTGGTAAGGCTGGGCCTATCAGGAGACCATCAGAATACACCAATGGCTCTCCTCCCTCGGGTTAACCTTCCGAGTTCCGAGGGGATCGAGGGTCGTTTCCTGGGCACAAGATATGGTGGTTTGTAACCTGCCTCCCCTTGGGGGATGGCGCGGAAAGCGCCTCATTTTTGAAAGTCGTCCCCTCGGCGCTAGACATAGTCTGTGGCCTGCCACACCCTTGGGGTGGTAGCGCGGGGAGCGTTTCGGTTTGGAAGTCGAATCCTGGGCATTTCTCGTGCCTGTCATACTCTTGGGGTGATGACGCGGAAAGCGTTCCGTTTTTGAAAGTCGAATCCTGGGCATTTCTCATGCCTGTCATACCCTGGGGGTAGTGACGCGGAAAGCGTTTCAAGGAAGGGTTTTCATTTGCACACTAGTTGCAAATGGCCGGGGGCACTACGTGCCGCCGGCACCGATGGTGGCGCCTTCGGTATATGCGTCCTCGTGGGGTACGGCTTTTAGAAACAACACTTGGTGTTAGTTTCGATATGTAGCCCCCCGGTACTTGGTACCGAGGGGTCTTCTGTAGGAACACTTAGTGTTTTCCTTCTACTTGACGTTGATTGGTGAGATGTGTACCCCCGGTACTTGGTACCAAGGGGTCTTCTGTAGGAACACTTGGTGTTCTTCTTTTTGATGTTGATGGTGGAGATGTGTACCCCCGGCACTAGGTGCCGAAGGGTCTTGAAATGAAACACTTGGTGTTTCCTGTTGCCGGTGATGGGAGTCCCCACCTTCGGTACTTGGTACCGAGGGGTCTTGTTTGAAACACTTGGTGTTTTCACTGTTGTTGAAGGTGTTGATGGTGTCCGGCCTCGGCACTTGGTGCCGGAGGGGGTTCTTCTCGTGGTGAGGCCTGGGGCCTGTAGTTGGTATGAGGGCTTGGCCGCTCATAAGTGTTTCGCGGTTGTTCTTGGTGTCTTGAATGTGTCTTCATTCCTCAAAAGTGGAGGCCTTGGGCCATAGGATAGTACATTCACTAGTTATGAGGGCTTGGCCGCTCTTACATTATTGATAAAATTTAACTAAGTGGTGTACATTCCAGTGCCTAGGGACTTCTTTCCCGTTGGGGCGTTTGAGCTTGTAAGTCCCAGGTTTGATGATGGCTGCTATGATGTAGGGGCCTTCGAATTTTGGTGCCATTTTTCCTCCCTCGGTTGGTTGGCTGGCTTCCCTCCTCCGGAGGACATAGTCCCCCACTTGGAATTCTCGGGTGCGAACCTTGGCGTCGATGTAGCCTTTGACTTGCCTTCGGTAGTTTTCTGCCCGGATGAAGGCTTGCTCCCGGCGTTCTGAAAGGAGGTGGAGGTCGAGGGCCATGTTGCTGTCGTTGACCTCGGGGTCATATTGGATCACCCTCCGGGTGGGAAGGGTGACTTCCGTAGGAGCTTTGGCTTCAAACCCGTAGCAGAGGGAGAAGGGTGTCTCACCTGTTGCTCGCCGAGGGGTGGTGCGGTAGGCCCAAAGGATGTTGTGGAGCTCTTTTAGGCCCTCGAGCAAGGTCCGGTTGGCGTTCTCTACTTGCCCGTTGCCTTGAGGGTAGGCAACGGAGGAGAAGGTGTGTTTGATGCCCCATGCCTCCAGAAGGGCACAGAAGGGGGCTGCCTCAAATTGTGTTCCGTTATCGGAGATGATCTGCTGGGGGACGCCAAACCTTGTGAGGATGTTCTTGAGGACGAAGTGACGGCACTTCGCCTCTGTGATACTGGCGAGGGGCTCAGCCTCCACCTACTTGGTAAAGTAGTCGATGGCCACAATGATGTACCTGTTGTTGGAGGTACCCCTCGGCAGAGGGCCCACAAGGTCTATCCCCCATCGAGAGAAGGGGACGGATGTGCTGATGGGGGCATAGTTGACCACTGGCCTGCCGGGGGCTTTCTGGAAATGTTGGCATGCGGTGCACCTTCGGGCAAGGTCAGCACAATCCCTGGCCATGGTTGGCCAGAAGTAGCCCTGGAGAATGAGCCTTCGGGACATGGAGAAGGGTCCCTGGTGAGCTGAGCAAGTGCCACTGTGCACCTCCTCCATTGCGACCTCGGCTTCATCTTGATGAAGGCACCGAAGTAGCGTGCCGTTGTAAGACCGTTTGTAGAGCCTTCCGTCTTCGATGGTGTAGCTAGGAGCCCTCAGCTTTGCTAGTTTAGCGCGGGTCTCATCTTCGGGTAGCTGCCCGGCTGAGATGAAGGTGATGATATCTGAGATCCAGTCCTCTTGGCGTTGTTGTATGATCATGACAGGGCTCGCATGGATACTCGAGAGACTGAGTTCCTCAATTTTAGCAATCTTAGAGATGTGCTCGGGGGAGTCGGCCGAGAGCTTAGATAGTATGTCGGCCTCGGAGTTCTGAGCCCTCGGTATTTGAGTGAGAGAGTGTGCCTCGAATACCTTAAGCAACTCCTTGGCCGCCTCCTTGTACTGTTTCATTCTTCCCTCCTTGGCCTCATACTCCTCGGAGATTTGGCCAACGACCAACTTGGAGTCGCATTTGATATGGATCTGCCGAGCCTTCATGTTGGCAGCCAGCCGAAGGCCACATAGGAGGGCCTCATACTCGGCCTCGTTGTTGGAGACTTTGAAGGAGAAGCGGATCGCATAGTAGGCTTTGAAGCCCTCGGGAGTAATGAGGACTACCCCTCCCCCGCATGCTTTGGTTGCGGAGGAGCCGTCGGTGTAGAGGGTCCACCAGTCGTCCGAGGTAGCCGGGGGCTCCCCGTCCGAGGCTGCCCTTGCAGTATACTCCGTCACAAAGTCCGCCAGGGCTTGGCCCTTGATGGCAGGCCTCGGGTGGATGTCAATGTTGTACTGGCTTAAGAAGATGGCCCATTTCACCATGCGGGAGGAGCTGGTGGGGCTCCTCATGAGGGCGCTGAGGGGTTGATGAGTGAGGACCTGAACCGGGTGAGCCTGGAAGTAATGGCCCAACTTCTTGACGGTCCAAACGATGGCTAACACCGTTTTTTCCACAGGAGAGTACCTGAGCTCGGCCTCCCTCAGGGTCTTGCTTACATAGAAGATGGCATGTTGGATGTCGTCTTCCTCCCGGATGAGCACGGAACTGATGGCTGCCGGGCTGACCCCAAGGTAGAGATAGAGGGTCTCCCCTACATTTGGTTTGGAGAGCACAGGGGGTGAAGATAGATATCGTTTGAGCTCGTCGAAAGCCCCTGGCATTCTGGAGTCTATTGAAAGCCAGCCGTCTTCCTCATGATCTGGAAGAAGGGTAGAGACTTCTCCGCTGATTTAGATAGAAAGCGGTTGAGGGCTGCCAGGCGGCCCGTCAACCGTTGAACTTCCTTCACATTGCGTGGGGGCTCCATGTTGATGATGGCCTGGATCTTCTCAGGATTGGCCTCAATACCCCTTTCGGCTTACCATGTAGCCTAAGAATTTGCCCCCTTGGACGCCGAAGGTGCACTTCTTCGGGTTTAGCCGAAGGTTGAACTTTTGCATGATGGCAAAGATTTCCCGGAGGTCGTTGGCATGGCTGGAAGATTGTTTGCTCTTGACGATCATGTCGTCAACATAGGCCTCCATGGTGCACCCTAGGACGGCCTGAAAGACTCGGGCCACCATCCGGATGTAAGTGGCCCCTGAGTTCTTTAGGCCGAAGGCCATCACTAGGTAGCAGAAGATGCCCTCGGGCGTCATGAAGGCTGTCTTTTCGGCGTCTTCCTCATGCATGAAGATCTGATGATACCCGCGGAATGCGTCGAGGAATGACATGATTTCACACCCCGCGGTCTCATCTACAAGTTGATCGATATTGGGCAAAGGAAAAGGGTCCATAGGGCACGCCTTGTTGAGATCCGTGTAGTCCACGCACATGCGGAAGGTAGGAGGCTTCTGTGCGAGGACTACGTTTGCCAGCCATGAGGGGTATTTTACCTCCTTGATGTGCTTAATAGAGAGGAGCATGGAGACCTCCTTCTTCACAAATTCCCTCCTTTCGGCGGAGAGGGGTCTTCTTCGTTGCTGTACTGTTTTGCCGAGGGGTCCACCGAGAGGCGGTGGGTGATGACCCTTCGGCTTATTCCCGGCATGTCCTCCGGCCCCCATGCAAAGACAGTGGAGTAGGCGCGGAGGGCGTCAGTGATACTGGTCTTCAGATCTTCAGGGAACTGGGCTCCAATCTTCACGACTCTCTCCGGCTTGGCCGGATCGAGCGCAAAGTCTTCTACGTCCTCGGCTGGTTCAGCCCTCGGCCTCCTTTTTTCTTCATCGATGGTTCCGGTGATGGTGTCAACACGGAACTCCGTCTTACTTACTTTCTTCGTGACTTCAAGATAGCAAGCGCGGGCAATTTTCTGATTCCCCCGGGAATAGCCAATGCCCCCCTCGGCGGGGAACTTGAGGCAGAGGTGCCTCATGGAGATGACGGCCTCGAGGTCCTCGAGGGCTGGCCGGCCGAGGATGATGTTATGGGCGCAGTCGATGTTGACGACGACGAACTCCACTTCGAGCTGGGCCCTATGGAGCCCATCGCCGAAGATTACCAGGAGGGTTACTACCCCCTCGGAATCAATAGTATCGCCGGTGAAGCCGGCCAGAGGGGTCTTAATGGGCCGAAGGGACCCCCTCTCCAGATGCAGCTCTCTAAAGGTGCTGAGGTACATTACATTGACGGAGCTGCCCGTGTCAATGTAAGTTCGGTGAATGATGGTGTTGTTTATTTCAGTCCGAATCACCAAGGCATCCCTGTGAGGAGAAGAAGTAGGAGGGAGATCTGCGTTGGTGAAGGTGATGAGTTCCTCCCTCAGCCGCTTTACCGGGGGCATATGGGTGACTTCCCCCACGTAAAGCGATTGAGCCCACTTTTTCCGCTGACTGGTGGAATCGCCCCCTATATTGCCATCGGTGATCATGAGGATGTGGCGTTTTTTCTCCTGGTAGTGGGGGTACTCCTACTCTTCCTCCTCCAAGTTTCCGATCTCCCTCTTCTTGCCGAGGGGGATGGTGTTTGGGTTCACCCAAGCGTTCACCTTTGTGTGGTGCCCTCGGGGAGGTCCCTGATGAGAAGATCCCTCCTGCCGAGGGCTCTGGATAAACTGGGACAGATGGCCCGCTTCTATCAATCTCTCGATGGCCGTCTTTAGCTGATGGCAGTCATCGGTTCTGTGCCCCTGATGCCGATGGAAACGACAGTAGGGGAACTGATGGTTGATAGCATGTACCTCCGGGGGTGCGCGAGAATCGCGCTCAACGAGGCCCCTCTCCTCGGCAAAGTCAAGGATGATGCTGACGGGGTGCGTCAATGGTGTCCGGGGGCGGTCCAGGAGAATGGGTTGTGCCCAAGTCTTAGGGCTGCTCTTATAACCTCCCCCGGGCTTGGCTTGGCCTTGCCGAGGGCGGTCATCAGAGGGTCCTGAAGCCTTGGGATGATTTGGAGGAGCCCCCGACCCTCGGTTGTTCTTGCTGTCAGCCTTCGGGGGCTGCTGATCTGGATGCTGGTGGTATTTCTCCACCTCCTCGGCCTCAGCATATCGGTCCCCCCGCTGCAGGGCCCTTATGTAGTCGCGGGGGGGTTCAATGATGAGGCTCCTTGAAAAGTTGCCGGTGCGGAGGACGGTTTGTAGGGGGCCAGGAGGGTCCCGTCATCAGCACCGTCGACTTTGTCGGCTTCCGTTCTCCAGCGCTCCAGGAAGTCCCGAAGGGTCTCATCCCTCCTTTGGCGTATGGTTAGGAGGTGGGAGAAGTGCTTCCTCGTGCGACGCCTCCCGGTAAATTGCGTCAAGAATCGCTGGGCGAGTTCTTGCCACGAATCAATGCAGCCTTCGGGCAACCGGTTGAACCATTCGTATGTCGGCCCCTCTAAAGTGGAGAGGAACCAACGACACAAATATTCGTCCGACGCCCCTACCATCATCATGATGTTCTGATATTTGCTGTAGTGTTCCTGGGCGTCCGTCTTCCCGTTGTAGGGTTGTATGTGTTGCCCTCGGTATTTTTCCGGGATCCGGGCCGCCAATACCCTTGGGGTGAATGGCGTCCGGGTCCGGAGCTGGATAATGGGTTCTCCGGAGCCCTCGGCTACCTTCTTCTGCAATTCCTCCATTTTGGCCATCATGGCCTCGTATTTGAGGTCTGAACGAGGGGTGAAGGTGGTGGCGTGAGCTTTGTTGGCCTTCATTTCATCAAGTCGGCGTTGGAGGGCCGTAATAACTTCATCCCGGGGGTCCTTCGGGAGGGTCTCCGCCCCCTGCGAACGAACCCGGGCCGAGTGGGCCTGGTTGATTTGGTGGTGAGCATCGTCGGCATGAAGGGGCGCCTTGCCTTTGTCCCGAGGAGGACGCTCCTCGTCTGCCCTCGAGACAGACCCTCCGCTCTCCTGGGGTCTCTGGAATGCCTTTCCTCCGAGGCGGTCTTGGACCCCTCGGCGATCTTGCCCCCCTCCGAGCCGGTTGAGGGCGGAAGTGCGGGGCCTCTCTCTGTTGTCATTGTGGCGGTCCCGGGACTGAACTTCCTGGGAGGCCGTATCTTGGGCCACTACCCCTTCGTCATTCCCAATCCGAGGGATGGGATTCCCGAAGGGGTGTGGCAGAGGGGGAAGCATGATGTTCTCCCCAACCTGGGGTGGAGCCGGAGCCAGGGTGCCGAAGGCACCCGGGTTCTGAGTTAGCGTCTGGATGAAGGCGGAGAGCGCCGAATGAACGTCGATGGTGAGGATCGGAGGGCTGACTTGGTCATCGCTCCAGTTTTTCTTCTTGGCCTCGATGCCGAGGCGGGCATCGGGGGCATTTTGCTGGATCTGAAGGCGTAGGTCGACAGCCGCCTGTTCCAGCCCAGCGATGACACCGCCCTCGGGAGCCCTGTGAGAGGCTTCGGGGGCGTTGACGTCGCCGAGGGCCAGGTTCTTGTCTTCTACGTTTTTGGAGTTGACACGTGTTGTTCTCACCATTTTGGTAGAGGGCTAGTGTTTGGCGAAGGGGGAGGGTTTCTTACTTGATCGTTCGACCTCTCAACGAGAGCACCAAATGATGGATAGTGTACCCGGGGGGTAGCTTATCCGGGGGGTTATTGCGGGGAATAACAAGAGAGAAGTTAGAGCAAGTAGGTATAGAGAGAGAAAGTGTATTCAGAAAGTATGCAGTGTTTATGACTTGGTTACAAATGGGGAAATGGGGTGCTATTTATAGTAGCAATAAATGCCGGATAGGAACACGTGTCAAGCGCCCATTGGCCGAGAGGTCATCTCAACTGGTTGGCGCTGGCAGCTGCCTGTGGCCGCATTTAATGCGGCTGTTGGATGAGACGTTTGTACAGGGTACGGTGATCTGTACGCATGTGACGCGGATATTATGTCGGGAGAGGTGCCCTCGGCTGCAGAGGACTAACCGAGGGCTCCGAGTGCCGGGGACCCCCTGGGTGCCGAGGGCTCCAGGTGCCGAGGGCTACTGTTTTCTGTCGTTTTTCTCCCAGTTTCTTAGCTTGCTTGAAAACCCATTCTGCGAGAGTTTTGAGCCTTCGGCCAGGGGGCCGAAGGCTCCCCCAGTGTGCGCTGTGGGCTGCTAAGTGTTTGGGGCGCCGTAATTTGGGGCCTGCTGTGCTTCCTGGGCAGGTTGGGCCTTTATTGGTGTAGTAGGAGTCTGTGGGCCGGGGGTTCCCGGGCCATATACTCCATCAATAGCATTGAAGATGCTCTAAACATGTCTTATGCAGTTATGCATGGCTTACGGGACCATATTTTCATTTGCTCCAACTTGTGAATAGTTATGATAACATATATGTACGGAAATTTCAAAGTAAAAATAAGAAGTAGATCTATAAAAAGTAATTGCTCTAAATGAGATTAAAACATTGCCAAAATTCCAAAACAGAACTACAAATTTATTGCTCCCTAAATAGGATTAAAGGTTACACTTTTAGTCCTCATTTAATTAAACCCTCCTCTCTGTCTTCTCAAATTCATCGGCAATTTCTCCAGAGCACGCTGCGATCCTTCCTCACATGGACTGCATCTTTGCCATCGACTGTGGGCCCTGCACTCATCGACGACCAAGTAGGTAATCTCTTCTTCTTCTTCTTCCTAGTTTTGTGCATTTTTTTAAGGGAAAACTATCAAATAAGCCCCCGTACTATACCGAAAAAGTCGATTAGGCCCTCATACTTTACAAACACTTAATTAAGTCCTCGAACTATTAAAAAACGTTCAATTAAGCCCTTTTGGTGGGTAAGTAACCGATTTCACGGTTAAACGACGACGATGGCGACGATGTGCTCGAACCCCAGCAACGGCGGCTTCCGGGAAACAGGTTACATTTAACCGGGAAACCGGTTATTTACCGACCGAAAGGGCTTAACTGAACGTTTTTTAATAGTTCGAGGACTTAGTTGAGTGTTTGTAAAGTATGAGGGCCTAATCGACTTTTTCGGTATAGTACGAGGGCTTATTTGATAGTTTTCCCTTTTTTTAATTTTTTATCAATCAGACTTTAAATAAAAAAATATTTTTGAAAGTTTCAAATGAAGATATATCTGAACTTGAATTTTTTGTTATCAATTTTGATTACCTTGAATCTCAAAGTGCTCTGACTGATGATTCTAAAAAATGTCACTTTTTGAATAAGAGAATGTCATAATTACTGGGTATTTTTACAAAGTGTCACTTTTATGTCATTACAATATTTGGAAGTGCCATATTGAGAATGTCGTATTTCTATATGAAATTGTCATTATTGTGACATTGTGGATATTAAGTGGCATTCTCGCATATCAAGTGGCATTCCTCGTGGAGGTCTGCACAGTGTCACTGGGTGGCAGATCCTTGTTGGAGAATGATGGCAGCGTATTCGCTAAGGGGTGGCGTGAAGGTGGTGGCAGACTTGATGGAGGGTGGCGGAGGCACCATTGGTGGAGGTGTCGACTTTGAACAATGGAGGCTTGGAATCAACGTACACCTGCAGGCGCACAGGAGAACTCTCACATATCCCTGCCCTGTGAACTTTTAAAGTTTTTCAGTAAGGGTAGTTTTGTTAGATTAGCTCTTTTTAGTCGTCCTATTTGTGTCCAATAAAACATAGTAGTCCTGTTTTTGCAATTCTACCTTCTTTTAGTCCTATTTAGGGAATTCTCTCTTTTATAAATATTACTCTTTCAAATGTGATGAACGAAAATATACTTACTAACTATTAGTGACTATAATTGTGATCAAAATTTACATCGTAGTAACTAAATGTAAGTTACTTACTCTCATGTAAACTTTGAACATAATTACAGTCACTAATAGTTACTGGATCATATTTTGTCCAAAACATTTTTATTAGTAATATTTAGGTAAAACCCGCTAAAAATAATACCCCGTTATTCATTTACTCAACTTGCAAAAAGAGTAAAAATTTCATATGGGAAAATGCTCTAAATTTGATTAAAAATATTCTCAAATTTCAAAATAGAAATTCTATGTTTTTCTTCTCAAAATATGAGTCATTATTGTCATGATTGAAAAATATTGTCATTAATGACAGTAGATATTGTCATTTTATTGTTCAATACTGCAACTATTTTTTCAGTAATAACTCCCAGATGATCGACAAAAAACTCCTAAATGACAATGAATACTCCCATTTTTTACTTCTATTCCTTGAATAAAAACATATTAGTCCTATTTTAGAATTTTGATACTCGTATTTTGGAAATTTTACATAAAAAAGTACAAAGTAGGACATAAAAAAATAAGTGTTATGTATTTCCTTAATTGAATTGCATAGTTAGAGTGGTGATGAAATTATAGTAACTTATGTTCAAGTTTTAAACTTAAGTTACTATGACACTACATTGTAGTAACTAATAATCATATTTGTGTAAATAAATTTTATTTTAGTAATATTTTTGTAAAAAAACCAAATTAAATAATTAAATTTAATTAGTTGTCATATTTTGACATTATTAAGCATTAATATGACAGTATTAATGTAACAATTGTCCACTTTAACAGAAGTCTTCAGGAATGATAGTAATTAAGTACTCTTATTTGAGGGTGAAATACAATACGCAGTATATAGTTTCTCGCATTTTTAGTAGCAAAGAAGATTTTGAATACATTTATCAGTTAATTCGTTAAATATAAGTAAATCATGGTGTCACGTTTTACATGCAGCACACCGTGAACATTATACTCTGGCACCTAAAATACGCTCGATCGAAAAGTACCTTTTCAATTTCAGTAGTAGGGTGATGTTACTGATCACGTTTAAAGAAATATAAATCACATTGATAGAAAATGTGACTTGAGGCGAGTCGAAATATGAGTTGCTAATACCTAGTATGATGTATAAAAAATAAAACATTGATTATTATGTAAACAATAAAAAATGGAGTCTAATTGTGCAACTACGTACGTAAATAATGAATGTGTTTTTAATACTAGGGCAATAAAAATGATATATTTTAAAAAGTTATATATACTCCCCCGCACCTAAAACACGATTGGATAGAGATTTTTTTGTTTCAATAGCAAATGTGTATTTTATGGTGTAACTCACGTGTATGTAAAATGTAACTGTTGTGACAATTCCAAATATAACTCGCGCGTATGAAAATGTAACTCGTGCACATGAAGATGTAAATCATGCATAAGAAGATGTTGCTCGTGCACTCGATATTAATTTCAACACTTGAATATATTTTAAAAAGTTGATCTGAAAAGCTCTGCGTTTCAAACTTCAATTTTTGTTTTTAAACATTTCATATGCAATATTGGTGTCATATTAAAGATTGCAGACTTTTGATATATATTTTGTAAGAATTAGAGTACAAATACAAAATTTACAACACTTAAACAAATGAGATTTTCTAGTTCTATTTTACTCCATCCGTCCCATAAAATTCTTCTCACTTTCCTTTTTGGGCAGTCCCAAAAAATTCTTCCCACTTATCATTTTTGAATAATTTGTGTGGTTCACATTCATTTCACCTTTTTCATACACAATCACAACCATACATTTCCACTTTATTCCACTTTCTTAATCTACGTGCCAAGTCAAAGTGAGAAAATTTTATAGGACGTATGCGGTATTGGAGAAGAGGACTTCCGAATCTCGTATTTTAGTACTGTAAAACCGAATCCTGTATTTTTGTACCGAAGTTTCAAAACTCCCCTATTTTTGTCATTTTCTTATAAAGTTGATAGAGATTTCGGATTTTCCTCTCTTGAGCTTTGAAGCCTTCGAATGAGCGTAGGACTTCTTGATAAATCCAATTTGCATTTGCTATCAAGTAGTGATATATATACCATGCGTATTCCCCGCTACATTATTCATCACCCTTTCCTTATTATTACCATGCATGTGTACGTACCAGTCCTTACCATATCGTTGTTTCATTTATGCCATGCCTCAGTTCCCCGCTACATTTATTACCTATATGTTGGAATTGTATTTGGTGTGGCCATTTTTTCCAGTATGATGACCATCATTGTCATAATGCATGACCCTTGTAATTGTTATTGCTCACATGTGTAGTTGCTCCATATTATAGGAAATAAACAGGTTATTAGGCATTTTTTATTATTTTTCGTCATTTTTTAACGTCGTTTGACTTGGAGAATGTTAGGGAGCATGAGATAAGTGAGCCTGCTTGGGAGCACCATACAAGTGGACATCTGAGGGGGAGGAAATTGTCAGGGAGCACGAGATAAGTGGGTCTGTTTGGGAGCACCATACAAGTGGCCATCGGAGGGGGAGGAAATTGTTAGGGACCACGAGATAAGTGGGCCTGCTTGGGAGCACCATACAAGTGGGTTGGGTACCCGGCCAAAGGTGTTGAAAAACACCTATAAATAGCACACTTTTCCTTCACTAATGATCATTCCTTCTTTCATATACTTAAGCTCAGTTTAGAATAGCATTTTTTATATTTTTGTAGCATGTTTAGTCTCCAAATGAGGAGCTAAACTCTTCCATCTTAGTTTTGCTACTTTGAAGCTTAATGAATTGTAAGTTGTGAGTTATTTTCTTTAATCTTCTTCCTTGAATATTAATTTAATCTAGCTCCATATAAATGTTGGGGAGTGTTACTAAGATGACAATTAGTTAACATTTGTTTTCTTTAATCTTCTTCCTTGAATATTAATTGATTCATATTCGTATTTCATATTAATATTTTGAACATTACTTAAAGGATCAACTAGTTTTATTTCATATATTAATTATTACTAGAATCAATCGGTTAATACGCTTGTTATTAATTCGGTTCTTTCAACATTAGTAAACTTGGATTATTAATGCATGTGTCTCATGGTTAATAATCTAGGGGGAATTAGTTATATTGATTAAACCAATAAACCGCTTGTGTTGAGGTTATCAATCTCAATCGTTTTCATCTTAAGTTTATTGCTACTATTGCGTTAATATACGGCGCGTGTTCTATATTGATTCGGTAGTAAGTTTTATTAATGAACGCGTCTCGTTATTAATAACTACCCTTGATGAAATGGAGACACTCCTCGATTGCGTATTCGAGAGGAAGATAGTTAAAGATATAACCGGGATCGACGAACATTTCATTAAGTGGATAAAAGCAAAATCAAGTCTTCATCTCTAATTAATTAAACCACATAAGTCGTTCAACTTAGTGTTTAAATATACTTCAAGTTCAACAACAATCAAAACCCTCCATTTGTTATTTCTATTTAATTAAAAGAAAAGTATTCATTTCCCTATGAATACAAACCTTACTTTGTTATACTATGTATAATCGTTATATTGAATATTTATTTTGAATGCACACCACGACAAAGTGCACGTCATTGTTCAAAAAGTTATTTGAATCAAAATGTCTTAAGATATTGGAAACAAGTCAAGAATATTGTTCAAGTGGCCACTTTTTGGGCTTGTCTCTTGCATTTCATGTCATGGCATGAATTGTAAGAGACAAGTCCAATTTTTTGGAAGAAAAGGGTCAAATAAGACATTCAACTATTATGAAATAGTCACATAAGACCATATATCCAATAAAGTGTCATATAAGTACATTTACATCTAAAAAACAATCAAATGAGTCCTAATGACCTATTTAACACCTCTTAATCCCGGTTTCAACGTACTTCTGACCATCTTTTTAGAATACATTATACGGCATATGTCGAATATTTAACTAAGATTGGTTGAAATATAAGTCAAAAAAATTGACATGTAAGCTAAAATCGGGATTAGGAGGTGTTAAATAAGCCATTAGGAGTGTCATTTCATTGTTTTATACAAGTAGAAGTACTTATATGACACTTTATTGAGTACATGGCCTTATGTGACTATTTCGTAATAGTAGAAGGTCTTATTTGACTTTTTTCTCATTTTTTGGTAATCTAAAGATATGTACTTCAGCTATGCCCAAGGAAGGAAACTTAATACAAAGATCAAATGTGATGAAGGATAGAAGTGTTGCTATGTTGGCCAAAAATCCAATATGACCAAAATTTATTTATACTTAAAAGGAGTGAAAATGGAATCAGACTATAGGGCTGAGCACGGATCTGGGAATTCCCGTTCCGTACCGAAAAACCGTCATGAACCGTTCCAGAACCGATAGAACCGGAAAAATGTAATATCGTACCGTACCGAGCTTTTTTAATAATATGGTACGGTACTGGTTCTTAGTGAAAACCGTACCGGAACCGTCCCGGAACCGTACCGAACCGAAGCGTCTCGTACCGTCCTGAATTGTCCCGAAAACTAGTGTTATAATATAATAATATATTATATATAATATAATAATATGTATAATATATTATATACCGAGTATAATTGTCCGTATATTACTCTTACATCTTCTTTGGGCCCAATCCAATTATAGTTGACAGAAATCGCCCTGAGGTCCTGATGGCTGATGTCGTTGCCTAGAATTCTGGCAGATTAATTAGTCTAGCTCAAATATGGATTATTAAGTTGATTATTTTTGTCATGTGATGTGATACTTTTTGGTTTTTCAGTTTGACGATCACTTTTGCATTTTAGTTTGGATGTTACTTTTCTTTAGAGAGAATTGTCTAAATAGGATTAAAAGAATGTAGAATTTCAAAAATAGGACCACTATGTTTTATTAAACACAAATAGGACTAAAAAGAGATGATTTGACAAAATTACCCTTAATGAAATAAAAATAAAAAACGCCCCTGCACTTCCTTCGATAATTCCTTG